CATTTAAAATAACAATAGATGCTCCCAATGAAGCCTATTTAGCTCTTTCTTTGAACAGTGGGGAGGAACAGATCAAACCAGTCTGGGGACTCCTAGGGAGAGCTGTCCCCACCCCTCTTACTTTCACAGGCTCTGCATTCGAGCCCCTGGCTTAACGAGGTTCTTTCATCTGAGGGTGACCCTCTCATTTGGGACAGGTTAAGCACAGTCCTGCTTCCCTGTATGACAATAATGCCACCAATATTGGTAACAGCATTTCACTACCCCTGCATTCAGTTTTAATTTTTTTTATTACAGCTAATGTTAAAAAATTATATAATTCACAGGTTAAGAACCGAGCGTCTGTACATCTGGGTATAGTGCTTAGATTATCCACAAAGACCAAGTTTTATAGTGCATAATCAGTAATAACCCAAATTTAGGTGAATAAATTTAAGAATACAGTTTAGATATTAGCATCCAAGTATTCGGGTACATCACTCAAGGAAAGCTATACAGGGAGTTGGTTGTGGAAAGCAAATATAGCAATGAGTGAAGATTGTCCCTCAGTAATTGAGAATTTTGGGTAGGTTGTCCATTTAGAAAATACAATCCATGCCGAATGTATTTCAGTTACTTTCCCCACTGATTTGTAACCCAACCCCAGCCAAAGTTGATAATTTTGAGCAACAGCGTTCTGTCTGCTGGATATCGAAGCAGAGTAGGTGTGTTTATGTAAATACAGTTTGCTCCGGAAGACTCTCCGCCTCCCAGTTAGCTGTCAGGGAAGAATTCAGCAGACCCTGCTTACATTGGCAATGTCAGACTACCGTGGAAGAGCCATTTCAAACAAAGAAGCATCACCCAGCCCATCATTCTTAAAAGAAATATGAAACGTGTTCAGATTCATTTTCCACCCACCTGTTCTGTACACACATCACACCCCTACATTTCTTACCCATTTACTCTGTGCTGACATCCATCCCATCACCCCAGGTACAGCTCAGCACTCGCCTACACCAAGCCAACCCCTAAGCTACACTATGGGAGGGAAAGCACCTCCACACACCCTCTCCTTTACGGGCAAAGGGCAGGGGAGGGATGGCATTTCCAGGTGTTCAGTGAACATAAGAACATAAGAACGGCCATACTGGGTCAGACCAAAGGTCCACCCAGCCCAGTATCCTGTCTACTGACAGTGGCCAATGCCAGGTGCCCCAGAGGGAGTGAACCTAACAGCTAATGATCAGTGATCTCTCTCCTGCCATCCATCTCCACCCTCTGACAAACAGAGGCTAGGGACACCATTCCTTACCCATGCTGCCTAATAGCCATTAATGGACTTAACCTCCATGAATTCATCCAGTTCTCTTTTAAACCCTGTTATAGTCCTAGCCTTCACAACCTCCTCAGGCAAGGAGTTCCACAGGTTGACTGTGCGATGTGTGAAGAGGAACTTCCTTTTATTTGTTTTAAACCTGCTGCCCATTAAACTTCCCAGGAAACACTCACTCCAAGCCTGTTGCTTCCCACTCCTGGCCATAACTCTGCTTTCCCTGACCAAGACACTGCTACCCCCTAGTCCCCATGTCACTGGTTCTCCCCCACGGTCCAGTCTCCAAATTCCAATGCCTGGCTCCCTTTCCCTGGCCAGAAAATCAACCCCCAAAGACCCAACTCCACAACGTATCCTCTAAACAAGGGATCAGCTCAGCAGGCAAACAGGAGAGGCAAGCAGGGGAGTTTTTCAGGGCGTAGCTGTGGATCCAGTGCATGGAGGTAAAGAGACTTGGTAAGTTGTGTGCTGGTCTCTTTGCTGTTTGTCTCCATGTGGCTGGGGTTTGGGGTCCCTGACCAGGCCAGGTGACCGAGGTCTGTGTGTTTGTGTCTCTGAGAGGGTCGTGTGGCTCTGACCCTTGAGCCTAGGATCAGCCCTGGTGTTTGACGTCTGAGTCGTGGATCACCCTGTTAGCCACGGGGCAGAACTAAGCAGCGAGGTGCAGAGTGTATGAGGTAGTTAGTGGCATGCAAACACTTGACCAGGCACTTGGGTGAGGCACTGAAATACTGAGCTATGTCGTTATTTTAGCCCCATTCCCTAGGAGATGATCGACAGACCTGCCCGGCCGCTGGTTTCTGTGTATTGCGCAGTGTAATGGCACTTACGAGTAACCACTGCCCTACTACGGATCATATTTCCACCCCCCAAAGTCTTTTAGGGAAATATGATCACCATGAAGTGAAAGCAGGATTTCCCCACAACTACTGCCCACCCCTCCAGCTGAGAACTGTATTTCAGGGTCAAACCCACCTCTGTTATGGCTGGGCTGCCATCCGTGAGATAGCAATTCCTGCCTGGGAAATCCCAGTTACTGAATGTGGAACAACAGATCACAGTGACACAATGGGGAGGATGTTTGGTTTTGATGTGTCCTTTCCCCCCACATCTCCACTGACGTTCCTGATGGATTCTCCTGCAGCTGCACAGGGATGTTGGAACAATGCTGCGGCCTCTGCTGATCCCCTTGACATACTTCTGTCTTCAAACATGGCTGGGGATCCCTCAGGTAAACTCTTGAGCTTTGCCAGTGAAGAACTCTGTGTTTTCTCGTGTTTCTGCTCAAGGCTGTGCAGGCAGCCATACTGCCTTAGACCCATAGACATGTAGGGCTGGAAGGGACCACGAGAGGTCATGTAGTGGAGCCTTGTGTGCTGAGGCTGGACCAAGTGCACCGAGACCAGCCCGGACAGGTGTTTGTCTAATCAGGGCCCCACGCCACCTTCCCTAGTGGCTGCTGGGGGAATCCAGGCCCTCCCACGAAACTGGGTTCCAAACCAGGGACCTTCTGACCAGCAGCCAAGGTCTGCTCCGTCAGACTCCTTGCTGCTGTGTCCATGGATATCTTCCTACCACAGTCTTTTTCCAGCCCGCACAGCCTCTCTCGGCTCACCCTTCTTTCAGCGCCAGGCTCGCAGGGCTCCCCCGGGGAATCCCGCAACAGGATCCCAAACCAAAAGAACAAAATTAAACCAATTTCCTCCTTACCTGCAGGAGCTTTCCTGTTCCCCTCAGGTCTCTGCACTCTTTACTGCCAGGAAAGGGACTGCTGAGGTCTTCCCCCTCTCCCTGCAGTCCCTCAAACTCCAGTCCAAACTCCCCCTAGGCTTTACCAACACTGCCCCTGGCTTCCTCCTGGCCTGAGACAACTCACCTCTGGCCAGAGGCTTCACTGCCCCCAGCCTCCTAGGCCTTCTCCTGGCTCTGGGCCCTCCAGTTCTGGCTCCAGGCCTCTGTCTGGCTTTAGCCCATGAGGGGGCATTCCCAGCCACCCGAGCTGGGTTTGATCACCAGTTGTGCCTAACACCCCTCCGGGTGCCACCCTGCAGCCTAAAGGGGCTCAGCCTCCTGTTAACCCCTGGTTAACCAGTGTGGGGTTTATACAACCCATCACAATGGTGTTGCCGTCCTCCATGTGCATTTGGGGGTTGGACATTGGATGGAACCTTCCCACGGGCACCGCCAGCCCTGGAGCACGCAGTGCATGGCTGGCATACGGAGATGGCAACCCGCTGACTCCTCCTGAGGTAAATGGGGGTGGTTTCTAGATATTCCTGTGGGAGTGGATTGGGATCTCAGTCTCTGCTAGCCCCCTCCCTGCTATGTCCCTTGTTCCCCCTGCTTTGTCTTCCCTATTAATGTATCCCTTCCTGCCTTTCTTCCTAACCCTACATCTAGACACAGCCCAGTAAACTAAAAACATCTCTGTCACGGGTACGTGGCTCGCTGGTCTCTGAGTGCTGCCCTTCGGGTGTCAGGCCTTGTGCCTTTACCCTCCTGGGCAGGAATCCTGTGATTCTCCCACTCTCAGACGGGCCCTGGGCTGTGATACCTGTGAGTCCATCGTGCTGACCCAGCAGCTCCGGCTGAGTTCAGTTCCCTGAGTCTCGTCCCTTCGGGAGTCGGGGCCCAGTGGTGTATCTTCTGACACCAAACAAAGTGTTGTTCATTTTACTGTAAGAACAAATTGTTTAGAGAAACAGACTTTTAAAACAACCCACAGTCCACACTCACATCGGTCTTACCTAAAGGGCTACCATCCCCTGGGGCTAATGTAGGCAGGCTCTGCAACCCAGCAGGACCTGCGCCTGAGCCTGGCTCCCCTGAACAACTCCCTCTCCCCTCTTAACCGAGTGTTCCTCGTTAAACCCGACACAGACCTTCTGATCGCCTGCATTCCCAGACCTCTTGTATCCACCCCTGCTTCTTTTCCCCAGGAACCGGGCAACAGACGGTATTAATCCATTATTACAGGGCAGCTACAAATCCATCACCCCCTGTGTGTTCCATCCCTTTCTCCCCCCTTTCCTCTTCCTTGTCTCTTTAGAGGTAAGCTTCTAGGGCAGAGGCCATTCCGAGTGTGTTTGTACAGGGCCGAGCACAATGGGGCCCTGATCCTGGGTGTGACCTCTAGGTGCTATTGTAACACAAATGCTAATGTGACTGTATGTTTCCTTTATTCTCCCAGGCAAAATGCCAGGTGGAGCTGAGCATGATGGATGACGCTTTTGATGACCAATATATAGGATGTGCTGAAGAAATGGCTGGAATTGCACCTGAACTGCTAGAGAAAGAGAAGTCCATGTCCTCAGTGTTTAGAACGGTGTGGGAAAAATCAGAAAAAAAATGGGAACTCGTAAAGAAAAAGATTCCTCTGCCCACAGGCTTTAAAGATGAGCATGGACGAGCCATAATCGCCTATACTGACGATGACTTTCACAGTGAGTTGAATGCGGCAGTGAGAGAGGCTGGGGCATCTCGAGCTCATTACATGGCCAGTTTCCAGTTCAAAGCCTTTCATTATTACTTGACAAGAGCTTCACAGCTCTTACGAGGGAGGTGTGATGTGATGTACAAAAGGACGGTGTACCGGGGAGTTTCTGCCAGATTTCAGCACATGGGATCAGGTCACATTAGGTTTGGATACTTTGCCTCTTCGTCTTTTGATATAGGAATAGCTAAGACGTTTGGTACGGACACATTGTTCGCCATCCACACGTGCTTTGGTGTTGAGATCAGGGCCTTCTCACGCATTCAGGAGGAGGAAGAAGTGTTAATCCCAGTCCATGAAATATTCAACATGTTCCGAGGACAAAGGAATAACCGCTTTGTCCTCCGGAGCACAAACCGGACCTGCAGCCATTTTAACTGCGCGTACCTGGGCGGTGAGTACTGGGCTGAACAGGAGAAATATTTGTGTGGGGCTATTTGCTGTGGAGCATTTGAAAACCCCACTTCAGGGAGAGCTGATGAGAGGGACGCTGACTTGGGGACTTGCCACCAGGGCTGGGGGAGACAGGCTGCCACGACTCTTGCTGCCAGAGAGGGCTCGGGCTGGGGTGGGTGGACACTGGGTCCCACTCGCTCACTGAGGAAAGAGAAGCTGTCTAGACACCCACGACACCAAGTGTCCTGCTTTGAGCAGGGAGTTGGACTAGATACCTCAAGAGATCTCTTCCAACCCTGATCTTCTATGATTCTATGACACCCTGGCGATGGGAGCACTAGAAAGGCAGGTGAAGGCCCCAAATCACTGCGAGTCTTCAACATACACATTCCCCGTACAGAGTCCACAAGAGCCCTGGCAGAGCAGCTGTGGCTCCTCAGACATGGCACAGCAAATCCAGAGGCTGTGGGAAAGGGAGCAGGGGGGTGGCCTAGTGTGCAGATGGCACATTATTTGGGGCAGTCAGGACTAGGGACGAAGGTGAGGAACTTCAGAGAGATCTAACCGAGTTGGGTGAATGGGCAAAACAACATCAGGTGAAATTCACTGACACACATTCAAGGTAACGCCCATTGTGAGGAATAATTTCACTGGATTGTTAATGAGCTGTATCAACTCAGAAGGAAACCTGGCCCGCATTGTGGCGAGTTCGGTGCAAATCTCAGTGAAAACCTCTGTTCAATGTGCTGCTAGGTCTATAAAGGAAACAAAATGCTAGCAAGCATAAGGAATGATGGAATGGAGAATAATGTGAAAATATTATATCACCATTATATTAACCCATGGGGCACCCTTCACTGGGATTTTAGGGTTGGCTCTGATTACCCGAGCTCTGAAAGATTTATTGGAAGGGAGTGGGTGGGAAAAGAGTCCAGAGAGAAGGAGGATGAAAATGATCAGAGGGTCTAGAGCGATTTCTACGGGAGAGATTGGGATGGTTTAGTTAAACAGTGGTTATCAAACTTTTGTACTGGTGACCCCTTTCACATAGCAAACCACTGAGTGTGACCCCCCCTTATACATTAAAAACACTTTTAAATGTATTTAATCCCATTATAAATGCTGGAGGCAAAGCAGGATTTGGGGTGGAGGCTGATAGCTCGTGACCCCCCATGTAATAACCTCGCAATGCCCTGAAGGGTTCCGACACCCAGTTTGAGAACCCCTGGTTAAGAGAAAAGACATAAAAAAGTGATAGAAATATATAAAATAATAAATGAGATAGGGAAAATGGCAGTGTCTAATTTACCACTTTATCATAAAACATGAATAAACTGAAGATAACATATTTTAATTAGTGAAAGGGATTATAGAATGCAGGCTTAACTTGTGGAACTCATTGCCACAAGGTTTTCATGAGGCCAAGAGCTTAGTAGAATTCAAAAAAAGAATTAATTATTTATATAGACAGTGAGAATCTCCACAGTTATGTTACATAGGATACATTTTTTTTTTAAAAGAGCACTAAACCCTTAGGCATGAGGCCATAAGGCAGTCACTAACTGCCAGGGTTGGGGAAGTGATTTCCTGTATGTGTCGGTAATTCCACTCCGGGGTTTCTTGCAGCTTCTCCTGATGCAGCTGTGCCTGACCTCAGTCAGGGACAGGACATCAGGCTAGATGTAGCCTGTTGGTGGGATCCAGTCTGACAATTACTATGTTTCTTTGGAAATAGTAGAATAGAGTTGAAAATTCCACCTGAGGTCACATTTCATTGACCCTCTCTGTTTGTACCGTAGGAGAGAAGAACCAAATATGTGTTGACAACTCTGGTAAGAAAGAAACATTTTGTTTTCATTGTTTTGACAATAACTTTCCCTCTGTATTGAAGTGCAGAGCACAGAGCAACCCCACCAGGCAAACATGTCATATGCAGGGAAACAACTTGAGAAAAAAGTGGGATGAACTGCACGTTCTGTCTATTTATCCAGGTTCTCGTAGGGAGCTCATGACTAGTATCTGACACCTTCACGTCTGACTCAATTCCAGGCACAGTTGATTTCAGAAAAGAAAATTTAAGGAGAATAACCCTTTCGAGCACTAAAGATTCATCTTCAGTGTCCTGAACTAGAAGCTGAACACACATCCCCTAACCCAGCACCATAAGTGTGTCTCCATCTCCCGCCTCTCATAACTAGACCCATTCTAGCCCCAGTGGAACTACATCCTCTCAAGGACTAAACAGGACTCTTTTACCAGAGCAGGTTGGAAAAATCTCAACAAAACATTTTCTCATTGGAATTTGACAATTTGTCAAACTCTAAACCTTCTGCAGAGGTGGTTTGATTTCGACACTGTTCTGTCAGAACGCTGCCTGGGTTCTGGCAGATCACCCGCCTGGCTCCTTGGCAGCGTGGCTGGCGGGCTGCCTAGGAGTCATAGACCCCAGGACTTCCAATTCCCCTGACCCTGGGACAGCCTGCTCGGTGCACTGCCCCAGAGCCGACGCTCCCTTCCCTTGTGTGGAGAATTTCAAAATGATGTTGTTTTTTATTCCAAGTCAGAACAAAACCAAATTTTGAAATATGAAAATCCTCCACAAAATGGAATGATCTGCTCTACATTTCTCCCTAAAGCCAACAGAACAAACCAACCAACAAACAGAAATGGTGTTACTGGTGTCTGCAGCCAGTGTTTCATAGACTCATGTCTTTATTATTCATAACTGGTCTGGAATACACTTATGTGGCAGACAGCAAGCTCCAAATCGGAGCCTCTGGGACTGGCTTGGGTGAAATGTGCTCACTAATGATTGATACCAAAGGAACAAGCAGGCTGAGGAGGGAGGAAGCAGGTGAAATATCTCACCAGTGAGATGAATGTCCCAGGCTGGATGTCCTGCTGAGGGGAATTGGATTAATGTCCCTCTGGCATAACAGGTTTCAGTAGCTGTTGGGAAGGAAACCAGTGTCCGGCTTTAAGGATCTCTGTCAATGTGAAATAATTTCCTATCAATTGTTTGATCTTTTTCCTATTAACAGCTACCAGAGGTGGCATCGCCTTTCCCAGTGTTCTGAGCCATTTACTGTTTGGAGGATCCGTCATCCTGGTCCACGTTGCTGCTATGAAACTGTTTGCTGGTTTCTCAATTGTCCTATTCGTGTTACTCACTTTTTCTCTCTAACACAAATCATGGTGATGGGACTTGCTAGATCCAAAGCCGTCCTGCAATTCTGCCAGCGTTCCAAAGGGAAACCAGGAACCTGGAGGGAGTGTCGCTGGTACCTGCTTGGGCAAGCTTGGATTATACGTTATTGATGAGTAGATCAAAATGAAAGCTCAGAGTTCTATTCCAGGTGGGATTTGTTAAATTGGTGTCTGTTATATAAATAATTACTTGTATTCCTGTCATGCTAGCGCTTCTGTACCAACTTTTGATGACTTCAGTATAAGACTTTTCAGAAATGAACTAAGTCAGAGTATTTTCATGAATACATGTGACGGATTAATCTGTGTCTCGGCCAGGTGAATCTGTAACAGGACAGTTTGTGGGGTCCCATGTCTATATCTCTCAGGCTTGGTCTACACTTACCCCCCAAGTCGAAGTAAGGTACGCAAATTCAGCTACGTGAATAACGTAGCTGAATTCGACATACCTTACTTCGAACTTACCGCGGTTCAGACGCGGTCCACACACGGCAGGCAGGCTCCCCCGTCGACTCCGCGGTACTCCTCTCGTTGAGCTGGAGTACCGCAGTCGACGGCGAGCACTTCCTGGTTCGATTTATCGCGTCCAGACCAGACGCAATAAATCGAACCAGGAAGTTCGATTTCCAGCCGCTGAACTAGCGGCTAAGTATAGACCAGCCCTCAGTCACTTTCCTATCAAATTTGCTCAGAAGATGATATTTCTAAATGGTGAGCTCAAAGGCCGAATTCTGGGCTAGTTTACCCACCTGCCTGCCCACTGACTGTCCTGGGATTGTATGCTCAGAACTTCCATGCATGAGAACGATGCTTCACAAATCAATTAACGCCAACAAATAGGTTCTTACCAGACCTACCGCGATCTTGTCAAGTCCTCTTGGCTGAAACACAAGCAGAACGTTTCAGGTAACTGCAAGCGGGTGGGATGTTCAGCCTCAGTCTGAGCTCTCCAGGGACAAACTCTGGTGAGCCTCGCCATGGAAGCTTACCCTGCCTAGACACGGCACTGCAAATTAATGGGGTTATAATCGAGGAATATTGGAATTAGCACAATCTAGTTGATGAGCCAGACTTTAAAAAAAGAGCCAGATTCTTGGAGAGAGATGCCAAGTGCTTCCAGCCAACGAACGACGTACTGCATTGGATGCTGACGTTGGATGCTGACGTTTCATAATAAACCATCGGCTCCTCTCCCGCGGGGATTCTCAGCAGTGTGCCTCCTGATGGAATGTTCCATTATCCCGGGGGAATCGCTGACCTCCAAGAAAAAGGTTAAAGACAAGTGCTTAGGGCAACATTTCCAAAAGCAGCTTCTGCTATTGTGTCATTTGATAGCGTGCTCCCAGCTCCCACTAACTTCAGCTGGGGTTGTGGGCTCCAACCCTCTGATAGTCAAACCCCAGGTGTCTCAGGTCTGGCACCAGAAAGGACCTAAAGGAGCATTTTAAAAGCTGTCTGTTCATTTGGGTTAATTGGCAATCAGTTAACTCCAGTTACAGTAGGACGTCAAAACTCTATGAAATGGGACTGTTGGCCCCTTACTAAAACGCAGTGGGGGTGTTTTGGTTGGCTAGCTCCCAGTACCAAAAGAAAGGGGAAGGGTGGATGGGAAATCAGGACCCTGAGACTGACAGTCCCCAGGAACAATGGGGAGAGGCCAACGCTCCAGGTCAGCCTGATTGACAGGGCGAGTAGGCTAATCAGGGAGTCAGGAGGCCAGGGGGGTCCCATCCTCCAGGTGAGCTGGAATGGCCTGGGTCAGACAGAGTGGGGCCGAGCTAAGGAGAGAGCAGGGGCCCACACTGAGCTGGGGAGTGGAGCCGGGCCAGGCAGAGGGGCCAGAGAAGCAGCCCAGGGAGCTGGAGGCAGAGCAGCAGCAGTGCTGAGGCAGAGTGGAGGAGCTGGGGCTGGGGTTGTAATAGGAGCTTGGGCTGGAGCAGTCCAGAGCCGCGTGCGGTGAGCAGCTGGGGAGAGTGAGGGGGGACCCTGGGCAGTGGGCCCAGTGCAGAGAGACGCCCCCAGCCAAGAGGCTCTGCAGGCCAGACTTGGAGGGGGATCGTAACCCCGACGGGGCAGGGGCTGACGCTGGGAAGAAGGATCCTGTCACCTAGAGCCTGAGGGTGTGTGGCCACCGCCAGAGCAAGTGTCCAACCCGCAGCATCCCTGTAGCACAGCCAGGGCCTGGGAAGGGGCCTGGGACCTGTGAGGATCAGACTGAACTGCCCTGACATCCCAGAGACGCTGGTTGTGATGTCCCCGTGCCACAGAGCAGGGTGACGGGTTTTCCTTTCACCTTTCTCATTTTTTCCTTATTTTTTTCAATTGATTGCTGTTTAATACATTGTATTTGCTTTGAGCTGCATGTAATGATCAGTGGGTCAGGGAAGTGTCCAGTGTGGAGAGAGGACCCCAGAGTGGGGACACCCTAAGCCCTGCCCTAAGTGACCATGCCAAGAGTGGTGGTTGAGCCCCCCCAGGAATCCTGGGCCCAGCCTTGTCGGGGTTATGAGGACTCACACAGGAGAGTGGAAGGGGAGTCCTCAAGGTCTGGCAGGCCTCTGGGTAAAGGAAGTGGGAACAAAGACTCAGATCCTTTCGCTAGCCCATTTCACAGGGGCGGTGTATAAGCCAAGAAAGTTCCCCACAATAGCAGAACCATTCCCCCACTTAATGTTGTTTTTCTTGGTTTCTAAGTAAGCTGTTGCCCCTAAAATAGCCAGAGGGTTTGGAGTCTTTACTTGGCTTTAACATCTGGTTCAGGGAGGTAAAGAATCCTCGAACAGGAAGCACAGAGGATAAAACGGGGGTAGTTTTGTGGATACGTTTGGAAACAGGTGATATTGGGAATACTCAGGAGCCCTGGCCCTAGCTCACAGTAACCTTTTGAGTCTGTACAGGCCTGATCCAAAGCCCATTGAAATCAATGGGAATCTTTCCATTGGCTTCAGTGAGAGTTAGCTCAACCCCTTATTGCTAAAAACAATTCCATTAATTCTGAAAGTGAAAGTCAACAAGGAGGTTTCTTAGATAAAGACAGGCCATTTCCTGTAGTATAAGCATTTGCAGCTGTAGTATTTAGTCTGCAGCCATCTCTTGCTTGGGTCAGCAGCCTGCCAGGGAATCGCAGCCACTCGGGGAAGTCAGGTATAGTAACATCTTTAAATTGTTACTCCTCATTAACCTCATTACAGACACTTGTGTTGCATTCATCTCTAGACAGCAGGTTGGACTGTGGTTTAGCCAGTGATACAAATCTGCTTTGTTCGCTGAAACGTTCATCTTGCAAAAATGGAAAAGTCCATCCCCACCAAACGTTAATGCCTGGCTCAGTGATATGGCCGACCTCGCAGCCAACCAACCACTGCATTCCGCAGTCTTTGTGCTGACTTCTTAGAGCTCTGTGATTAATGTAGAGCCTGAAGACAGATATGTCGCTTTCCCCCTTTGCCCCCCTCCATTTGGCCTCCTTTACTTACTGTCTGTATTATGATGAATCTGGTATTTTGGTCTATTTGTTGTATTTGGAAAAATTAATAAAAAGTTATAAATGCAAAAAAAGTCAATGATACAGATCTCACCACAGCTACATCTGTCCAGCACCAATGTACCTGTGGGGTGCTGTGGTCTGGTAGGGAAGGCACCGGTGTGAGAGCCAGGTGATCTAGGGTCTCGTCCCAGCTCTGTCGTTGGCCTGCTCTGTGTGACATTGGGCAAGTCACTTTACTTCTCTTTCTCTACTAGCCTTTGTCTATCTCAGACTGCAAACTCCTCAGCCGAGGGACTGCGTCCCTATGTGCAGCCCCTAGCACAATGTGCCCCCACTCCAGGGTGGGATCGCTAGGTGTTTCTGTAATACTAATTACAGTCTCAGAGGGCAGAATTTGGTGCTTAGAATCAAAAGTCCAACATTTTCCATTGAGTTGATTTTAGATCTCAAATTTGTTACAAGATTAGAAAAGTTTCAGGACAGGGGAAAGCTACAGAAATATTTCAAACCCTAGGGAGTGAAAACAAAGAATCCACTTACTGTGCCCACATCTACATCCTAACACACTTTGACTGCAACTATTTCCATAGAGTGCAAACATCCCTGTTTGTTCATTTTAAAGATCTGCCCTCTATTGATACAACCACCAAGATGATCCGTTCATAGCATCAGGTGAACCTCCCAGGCAGAAAGCTGTTCATCTCTTCTCAGAAATTGCCAGGGCAGCTGATATCTATCCATCTATCCCTACCTAACTGCCACTTTAGGCACCTAAATCCCATAATCAGGCCCTCTTTGAGATTCCCTGCTCAGCTGCTCCTGAACCCTATAGGTGCGTAAACTTGTTTGGCACCTTAATTTTTCAGTAAAGCATTCCCGAGGCTCCTATGTTTCTGCCTCTGCACATGGACCCTGCAGCTCCACAGTGGTGCATGAACAAGGGGAAAACAGGCGTTCCTCCACCTAACTCACCTGTGGGGCCTGATCTAGTAAGTGTATAAAGAAGCTTACACAAAAAGCGGGGGTTGGGAGGTAATATGAGGATTTCCCTCCTAACTTCAAGCCCAGTGTTTAGGGTATTACCTGGGACAAACAGGAACATACACACCCCCCCATCTACCAGAGAGGGAGAAGGATTTGAACTAGGACCTAATACTTAGGTGGTGAGGACACCAACCATTGGACTACAGAGTCATTCCCATGCTTAGCTGCTTGGGCTCTCTCTTTCTCTGGCCCACTGCTGAATTTGTTCCATTGTGCAGACGTAGTGACAGAATAATTGGCCTTAGAGAGAGAAAGCAAGTGTGAGAGAGACCCTGTACCCTAGTGTTTCTGGCACCTGCCTTGGCAGTGGGAATCCCAGGCTCCCATCCCCCGCCTCCAAGGCCTTTTTAAAATTATGTATCCCCTGGGGAACAGCATGAACAGGAGAGATTGAGGGAGCCCCACACCAGACTATCCCATAAGCCAGTTGCTAGGACATTTCCCCCAAAGGTGATTGATACCTATTCAAATCTCTTCTCAGGTGGAGGAAGGGCTTGTACTGGGGATCTCCCGGAAACAGGGCAGCACGTTAATGGAATAGGATGTGCACAGTTCTTAGCCAGTTGGCATTACTGAGTCTGTTCAATAGTTTATTTCTGTCACAGCCACAGTAAGAACTGGTTCACGTTGGAGGAAGAACACTGAGAGCCGCCCGACATCTTTTTACTGGCACAGTTTTGTAGCTGTTATTTTCACCGACAAGGGGCTCTGTAGTTTTTACTCTGATGTAGCTGGGCAAGGTCACCGCTGCGCAGGGCCGGCTCTACCATTTT